CATCATGGAAAAGACCCAGGTTCTCTGCATAGCATTTCCTTCAACAGCCAAACAAAGGTCTCTAAGCAACGGCAAACACAAGCAGGTATCAAAAAAGACAAGCACTGCAGATCTTTTCGAAAACACTTGTGCCCAATTCCAGTAGCTCACCCCTACTTCCTCCCAGCTTTTGTCACCCAACCTCACTTGCAGTGAGCAGGTTCATGGCCACCTGGAGTAGATTTGGTCCCAAGAACAAAAGCATTTATCTTCCCCCACCACTGCCAGAATATGTCACAAGGCCACCTAGGTCTCCTGGGAGACCACAGGGCCTGGGATGGGTACCAGCGGACGCCTTTTCCATCCCACTGGTATTTTTATTTAAACTCAATTTAAGTTAAATTGCAGGTCAAATGTCTTTTTGTGTGGTGCTAGAGATTGAACCCAGGGCCTCTCACATGCTGAGCACTAGATCCTGTAAGAGATCACAAAACAGACTTGGGGGAGCCTCCCGCCTTGGCCTCTCTTTCCCTTCTTACCCCTATGGGGAATTGGAAAGGGCAAAGCAGACATCCAGAGCCCAACCCCTTTCTCCTCTCTGGAGAGTGAGCCTCGCACTGTCCTCTAGAAGGTTATAAACTGTCTGCCCCATTTGTATAAAGTATTAAAAAGTCACTTGCCCACGAGAAAAATCTCTGACTTCCACCCTAGCCTTTGCCCCTTTGTCAACAGTACTTTGGTCTCTACCCTTTAGTTTCTTGCTCTTTTTAAAATTTTATGTATTTTTAATTTTGAGACAAAGTCTTGCTAAGTCACTAAGTCACCCAGGCAACGTGCAGTCCTCCTGCCTCACCCTCCCAGATTGCTGGGATTACAAGTATGCAGTGACACTCCTGACACTCATTATCCTAATTGCTTCAGAACCCAGGTGACAAAATCAAATGGCTTAGCACTTTCAGATCACTGCTGAGAAGCATAATCTAAAAGTCATAAAATTTGCTTTCAGTAATGTCTTTGGGAACTATCAATGTGCTTTATTTTTTTTTTTTCTGTTTATTTACTTTTTTGAGACAGGATCTCGCTATGCAGTTCAGGCTGTCCTTGAGCTCACTTTGTAGTCCAAGCTGGTCTTGAACTCGCAATGATCCTTCTGCCTCAGCCTCCCGAGTACTGGGATTACAGGCATGCGCCACCATGCCTGGCTTAATGTGCTTGAAAGGAAAGAATCAGTATTTGTTGGGGTAGGCACTGGGGCTGCACTCTGACCTTCCCCCATGGAAAAGCTTATCACATCATGCTGGTATTTGTAGGCTAAGTTCCCAGCCCTTTCACCTTGTCTTGTTTCCATTGCACATCTAGCAACTTGCAGAACCTGGCTCATAGTGATCACTGCATTTATACTTTTGAATGATTTAATTAAAAAATCAATTCTACCAAGTTTTTGTTTTGGGGGGCTAGGGATCAAGCCAAGGGCATTGATCATGCAGGGAAAGCATTCTACCACTGAGTTACACTTTCCCCTAATTCTAGGTGCTAGTAAAACTTGTTCCTTTTGAGACCAAATTCCCTTGGGGCAAATATTTTAATAGGTCCCCCTTTTTGTAAGCCAGGTGTCATGGCACATGCCTGTAATCTCAGCACTTTGGGAGACTGAAGCAGGAGGATGGAAGGTTAAAGCCCAGCCTGGGCAATTTAGAAATTTAGCAAGACCTTTAAAAAGGCTGGGGATGTAGCTCAGTGTGAAGGTCCTGGGTTCAATTCCTAATATCAAAAAGAAAGAAAGGTCATCTTGTAATAGTAGGAAAGGCGTTGAGGGCAGACAAAAGGGAGGCTTGTGGGGGGGGGTGTTGGTTTGTTTCGTGTTCTGCCCTGTTATGGTTGATACATTGTGTCAACTTGGGGAATCTAGAGGTTTGGCTAAGAGACTCAGCAGTTTGCCACTTGGGGTGAAAAGGACCTCCCCAATGCCCTTACCCTTACCCTTCTGGGATGATGAATGCCCTTACCCTTCTGGGATGTTGTTATTGTGTTAATTTGAGAAGTTTAGAAGGTTAACTATGCAACTCAGAAGGGGTCCAGGGTGCTTACTTTGTATTCATCCTGAGCCTGTGCAAGAGGCAGACCTGCAGAGGGTGTGGGTGTGGAGAACCACCCCCACCTCCCCAGAGCGGGTAGACTATATAAAAAAGGAATTGAGGAAGGACTGGCTGCTGGTTCTTCAGAGGAGCTCCGGTCTTCGCCTTCAGCTCGGTCGTCTCCTGGCTTCTGGTGCAGACTGTTGGGCTTCCATCTGGGACTCTTCAGCCTTCTGGTGTTGGCTCTCCGGCCTTCAGCGTATATTCTTCAGCATTCCGTCGCAGACCCATCATCCTTTTGATACGGACTTGCAAGGACACTGCAGCGAGCTCCAGGCCCGGGGCTGGGCTCTTCAATCTCCAGCGTGCAGACACCCTCTGCACGCTTCCTCATCCAACTGTGTAGCTGACCATTGTAAGCCAAACTTGTAATTCCTTGTACATTTGTTTATCTTGTATTATATCTGTTCCTCTAGTAAACCCTGACCAAGACATGCCCCCACCCACATTGGCCTGTTGGGGAGGACTAGCAGTGGGGCTGAAGAGGAAAGAGAGAGGACAGCCGTGAGCTGATTGGGTTGGGAGGCTCCTGAGAAGTCACAGGGGAGGCACTTTCAGAGCAGGGACACCCGAGGTCAGCCTCCACTTCGCTGCTGCCTGCCCCTTCGCACACCTTCTCCCTCCTCGGCCCTCCCCTTGGTGACTAGGAGAACATAAACATCTGCAGAAACTGAGGAAGGTTTTGGGTTTTCTCAGAGGTTGTGCTGGCCTTCCTGGGTTTCACAGACATCCATGTTACAGAAACAGTATCTGTGAGGATTGCTAGAAAGATATTCCGCCCATTTCAGATCATAATTTCATTTTTGGATTAGCCCGGACTTCAGAAAGCTGTGAGGAAGGACTCCTTTGTTCTGCCTACACTAGAATTATTTTCACAGACTTGGATTTGAATGTTAGGGCTGCACTGAAGGAAATTCTAAGAAATAAGCTGTATAAAAGCCCATTACTAAATTTTCTGGAAGGCTTTTTGTCTTGAAATTATCACATGATTAGGGGCCATGGGAAAAACACCTTGAGTGTCTCATCAGATATTAAAAAAAAGATTTTTTTTCCTAGAATATTCACATTTACTTAAAATGATGGTGAATGTTTTAACTAACTCTATTCCCCTTTGGTTGCTAACTGGAGCCTGCCTACACGACTGGACAGGACTGGGGGCCCGAGTTTGCACCCCTGCTCCTGCCTTGGCTTGCTGTCTCATTTGCATTTTTGGTTTGCACCAGTCACCTCATTAACTTTTGAAGAAGGCTGTGCTACAGAGAACTTTTAAAAGCTGCTACCAATAATTTTTCCAGCAGGGCAGAGAGTCATGAAAAGGCAATTCGTAAGCTTTCGAGTCAGTTATCTCTAATCACCATGCCAGTGTGCTCTTTCTTGGAAAGAGTGGCAAGCAGCAGATAAGCTGTTTCCTCCTGCAGCCAGCGGGGAGGTGTTTGCCACTCCCTCCTCACTGCTGCCTAAGTCTTTCCGCCCCTTTCAGGACAGGAATTAATAGGATGGGTCTTCAGATGAAAACCTTAATTCACCCACATGTGCACACATCCACACGACACACATGTGCTATGTGTGTAAAGTGTACAGACTGGCCTCAGAAGACCCCTTACCTCCCAGCCACACAATTTAGATTCAGAACTCCCACAGCTTTTCTCAGGGATATATGCTTACTTCTCCAGGGCATTCTCCTTATAAATTGTCTATACATAATATATGTGTACGTCCCCATCCTTTATTTGCATTATTATGTTTGTATCTATGAGAAAAATGTTTATTAGAAATGAAATATGCAAACATTGGGGTAAATATCCAGGCACTTCGATTAGCGCTAAAGCTCCCCCTGTCCACAAGCTACCCCGAGCCCTGCCACCTCCCGGAGTTCACTGTCACCAGTCTTCGTGTCCTTCCAGACTCTCCTGTGTGCTTTTGCAAATTTATGTGTGTATCTACAGCAATATATTGCTTTTATGCTTGTTTGAGTTTGTTTTTGTGTGTGTGCACATATTTTGTTTGCTTGTTTGGCTAGTTTTTTTAAAGACTGGGTCTTGCTGTGTATCCCAGGCTGGCCTTGAACTCACTGTGTAGCCGGACTAGCCTCACTCTACCATCCTCCTGCCTCAGCCTCCCAGTGATGGGATTAATATATTGTTTTTATTATGTGTGGCTGTGTCTTAAGTAAAGGGATGCTAAACAGGTTGTGGTGTTGTACATCGTGCTTTTTTTAAACTTAATAGTGTTTCTTTTTTTTTTTTGGTACCGGGAATCAAACTCAGGACCTTGCACTTGCCAGGCAGGTGCCTGTGCCACTGAGCTATATCCCTGGCCTTAACAGTGTTTCTTAGAGGACTTTTCTCCCTACAAGGAAAAAGCTCTTTTCTATACAAACTTATCCAGACAGTATCTTTTGATGCTAGCTAATAGTCTTCCATCTTTATTTTACAGGCAAAGCCCTGCAAAAAAATTAAATTACAGGTCATGAAGGACTTCAGAAATTCTGGTTACACAAATATGACTGCCTCATAGGGTTTCCATGCTGGAATACAGTGCTCATCCAATATAGCTGTTTTCAGTCTTGGTCTGAAGTTCATTCTCTCATAGTTATTTACTGGCTGTCTACAGCCACGCTCCAGCCTGGGGACACAGCTGTGAACAAGAAGACTGTCTTTCCTTCCACAGCATTCATATGGTCTTGAAGGGAGACTCAGTAAAACACATATGGGGAAGCATATTGTTTGATGACGAGTACTGCCAATAAAAATTAGAGAAAAGAGTACAGGTTCCAAGAGGAGGCCAGATACTATAATTTTGTTACTGTTTTCTTTTTTCAGGGAATGCAACTTCATTTTTTTTTTTTTTTTTTTTTTGTTGTTGTTTGTTTTTCTCCGGTACCAGGAACCGAACTCACGACCTTGCCCTTGCCAGGCAGGCGCTTTGCCGCTGAGCTAAATCCCTAGCCCCGGGAATGCAACTTCAAATGGTGGTCACAGATGATCTATGGAGAAGGCGACAATTTGAACCAAGTCTATGCTTTTTATTTCCATGCTAAATTAATCAGTAGCATCTTCTTCAGAGGGGAAAGAGGTAAGATATTTTCAGAAACTTCTTTCTCACATTCAGCTCTCACAGTTCACTCAGCCTCTAAAACCCGGCTAGTGAATAATTTCCTGCTTAGAGAGGGTCAGGATGATTACACTTCTGGCAGTCGATATACACTGGTCAACTTAACAATCATTTATGTGTGTGTGTGTGTGTGTGTGTGTGTGTGTGTGTGTATTTTGCTAGGAATCTTTATACTGGACTACATCCCCAGCCCTTTGAACTTGGGATCCTTCTGCCTCAACCTACCAGAGTCCTGGGGTTACAGGCATGCACCACCATGCACAGACAATATTTTTTTTTTTTTTTTTTTGAGACAGCATCTCACTGTGTAGCTCAAGCTTACCTGGTACTCCCAGTCCTCCTGCTTCAGTCTCCTCACTGCTGAGATTATAGGCATGTGCCTCCACACCTGTCTTGTATTTCACTTTTGTTGTTGTTGTTGGTTTTGTTTTGTTTTGTTTTGTTTTGTTTTCCCCCGTACCGGAGATCGAACTCATGACCTTGTGCTTGTCAGGCAGGTGCTGTGCTGCTGAGCTAAATCCCCAGCCCCCTTGTATTTCATTTTTAATAAAGCTGCTCTCTTAACCCTTAATTTAAAAAGCACAGTGATACCAGGTTTTGGATATAAGCTAAAAACAATTAAGAAGGTGTTAAATAGGTGAGTATGGTGGCATATACCCATCATCCTAGCACTCAAGAGGGAGGAGGGTCATGAGTTCAAGGCCACCCTGAGCTACACAGCAAGGCTCTGTCTTAAAACAAAACAACTACTGAATCATATCTCCCTGTTAAATTATATTGCAATTAACAAAGTAAAGTCCCTAGCTGAGTGTGGTGGCACACACCTGTAATCCCAGCACTCAGGAGGCTGAGGCAGGAGGATTGTTGTGAGTTTGAGGCTAGCTTGGGCTACAAAGTGAGCTCAAGGACAGCCTGAACTGCAGTGGGAAGAGACCCTGTCTCAAAAAGATCCCCCCTCAAAAAAAAAGTCTAGGAAAAAAGAGCAGTAAGAATTCATTCACATATCTTAATGTGAAGGGATTCAGAGTACACACCAGGAATAGTACAGCTTAGTGGTTTATTCCTAACCACCTTTTGTCACAATCATATATTGCATCCCCAACCCTTCTAATTCCTTATTAATCAAACCACAGTCTGGATCACTTCACTTTCTACATTCCAGCAAAGCAGCAAGGAATTTCTCATCATAAATGAATGACATTCTTATTTGCAAAGAAGTCTCTTCTGAGTTTGGTAAAAGTCAGTCAGTTTCCCTGACCCTGACCCCCAGTGAGCAAAGCGACCCCCTCCAAGCTGAGAGCCAGACCCTTTGCACTGTGGACTCAGCAGGGACTGCCAGCTGCCTCTCTTCTTCCTTGATGACAAAATCCTGTTTTTATTTCGTGTGGCAGTGAGCCAGGAATAATGAACCGAAGACTACGGCTTGCTGCCTTTCATGGAACCACACGCCTCCTCGTAAGTGCTCAGTGGGAGCCCAAGGAGAGCTCCTCAGAAGGGAGCAACACAGCTGCAGCAGTGCGCTTCGGTCCTTCCCTTCTCGCTGCTGCTTACAAGCAGGGTACAAGAGCTGGAGCCCCAGCCTCTGTAGTGGAAAACTGCATGGAGGGTGGGAAGAAAGGCAGAGCACGGGTCCCTGTGGCACACAGAGAAGCTGCACCCTTGAGTTTTTCTTACCGGTATTGAGGACTGAACCCGGGGCCTTCACACTGAGCTATACCTTCAGACTCTCTCCTTTCCTCCCTTTTTTTTTTTTGGAGACAGGATCTTGCTAAGTATGAAACTGCCCAACCTGGGCTCAAACTTCTGATCCTCCTGCCTTCACCTCCCAGGGACAGGACTATAGGTATGCGCCATCATGCCCAGTGACTGAATTTTTACATATGAGACTAAACCCTTATAACCCCACAGTCAGGCCCTAACTCATGAGATGGGAAGGGGCTTTCTCAAGTGAGAACAAGTCTGAAGAGTCTAGAAGACATTCTCTTTGGAGCCTCTTTAGTGGCAAGAGACGCCAAATCATTGTAAAATTTAGAACAATCTTTGGTCTTGTTAGAATTTACTGCTTAAGTTATTGTAGGGAATCATTTTTTGAAGCTTTTTTTGTTCATTTGTTTCTGATGCTGAGGGTTGAACCCAGGGCCTGCGTATGCCAGCCAGGGGTTCTACCACTGAGCTATGCCCCAAGCCCCAAAAGGTTTTTAATTATACCAAAATAAAAGCTACTCAAAGTAGAGAAAGGGCTAATCCTTGACATTTTGCTAGTGGCTTGCAATTAGTGACTAAGTTTACCCTAACCAGTTGTATTCCCACTGTTCTAACTAGATATTCACAAACTATAACACAGATTTCTTTTTTAGACCCAGGATATTTATAAACAATCCTAAAATTCCAATCAGAGCTTCCTAAAATATGTAGTTACTGAGTTGCCATGAATTATTGTTACAGCTTGCGTCTGGATGTCTTCCCAAAATCTCGTGCAATCATAGGGGGGGCTTTTTCAGAGGTGGCTGGATCTAGGGTATGTGACTGATTCATGGTGCAATGCTAGGATTAAGGGTGCTAGGATTAAGGGTGGGTAATTATTAAATCAATCCACTGATTGGTTACGTACTGCCCTAATCCTGGCAGCCTGGATACAATCTAAGGGACAAAAAGAGGTTTGTCTTGTCCCTTGCTTGCTTTTGCTACCCTCTGCCCACCATGAATGTTTCTCTTCTGCAGTGCTGGTCTGCGGTACCACCCTGCCTTGGAGCCAGCTGGTTATGGACTGAAACCTTTACAAACTATGAGCTAAATAAACCTTTCCTCCCTTAACTTTGGGTGTCGGGTATTTTGTTTCAGCAATGAGAAAAGTAACTAAGACAGCCATCAAATATGAGCCTGGGACAGAAATCTCATAAGGCCTGGGGGCCTGGACCTGGAGACTACTTACCTCACCGGGGCATGAAGCCATTGCAGGCAGTACTTTTGAAGAGGAAAGCATAAGACTTCAACAATGGAAATTGGATAATCCAAGAACACTACTGGAGAGGAAGGAGAGAAAGAAGTGCTTTGAGCTACTCATGGTCCAGTGAAACCCAGAAGCCAGGCCACACGAGCTAAACTCAACGGGTAGTAAGAATCACCTGCCTGCCATGTGCACTTCAGGCCTTTGCCATCTCCAGCTGCCCAGCTTTAACAGCAAGCTACCAAGTGAGAGAAATAGCAAGCAGTCTGGTTTCCTCACCACAGAGCTTACAGGAGCAGGGTGATTACTAGACCACAACTAGCTATGTTATGGTCACTCTGTCATCACCGAGACACAATACCTGACACCCACAATGTAAAGGAGATTGGAATTAAAAAAATGACTCTCATAAGGGTACAAGTAGATTCCTTTCAGCAGTCCATTATTGGGATGCGATGAAACAGGATGTCTTTAGTACAACACGGATCAACTGAGTCCCCCCCAGCACTTCCATATAGCACACTTGAGTTAACAGCTTCAGGAATATTTTGAGAAGTAATAAAACCTGGGAAGAAATATGCATCCAAAGACTACCAGTATTTATTGATCAACTGAGTATGCTAGGTACTTTCTCATTATCTCATTTAACTCACAAAAGTTCCATGTTATATTGAAGCTCAGGGAAGCAGACTTTCCCAAGGTCTAGTAACAGATAAAGCCAAAATTTCAACTTGGGGTGCCTTGGACTCAAGCACTGTTTTCTTTTTTTTTTTTTTTCCGGTACTGGGAATCGAACTAACGACTTAGCGCTTGCCAGGCAGGCGCTGTGCCTCTGAGCTAAATCCCCAGCCCCTCAAGCACTGTTTTCACCACGGCTGTTTACATATAACTTTTTAAAATGCTTTTATTTGGACATAAAAAGAGAGGAACGAGTAATATGAGGGTTCTATGTAAATGAATGGGAATATTTTTGAATAATTTGAAAATACTAAACCTGAGAAAGGTATTTTTTTGGGGGGTACCAGAAATCGAACTCAGGATCTCGCACTTGCCAGGCAGGTGCTTGTGCCACTAAGCTATATCCTCGGCCCTTGAGAAAGGTATTGTCATACGTCTAGTATAATCTGCTCACATAATACTGTGGGATAATAATGGACATTCCTCAGAAATGAGGTTTGAGAGATCCCTCATCGACTATCCAACAGATAAGTCTATTTGCTTTCAAATCCTTTTTTAAAATTCGTCCCAGTTATCCAGTGAAGCCCCAGACTATCCCATCTTCCTAGTTTTCCATTTCTTACGTTTTTAACATTTTGACTTCACCCCAGTACTGCTGTGTGCCCTGTTCTTTAATGTTACTCTGATGAATGTATAAAAAATGTTAATGTACGGTAAGTGCGTGCTTCTGACTTACTAGAATGAAAACTTCTACGAGGGGAGAATTGGATCTAACTTGTTCATAATTGGGACCATCGGACAATTCCCTGGAAAACATACGTAGAGCACAAAAACATTTGTAGACTGAACAAGCTCTCAGATTTTATACTGGCATACTTGTTTGCCTTGAACTAAAGATGTGATTTAAATATATATGTGTGTGTGTGTATACACACACACACACACACACATATATCTGACTTCGTAAGTGGGTCTAAAGTCCTTCAAATAACACTTTGGGACGCAGGAGGCTTCCTATTTTTGTTTGGTTAACTCTGTAGCACCAGGGTCAAATTTCGACTTCATCTTAAAGTGACAGTATCCCCTTTTTAAAACAAAGGGCAGCCCGGTGTGGTGACGCACACCTGCAATCCCAGCACTGGGGAGGCTGCGGGAGGAGAATTATTGTGAGTTCGAGACCAGCCTGGACTACAAAGTGAGCTCAAGACCAGCCTGAACTGCACGGCGAGACCCAAAAAGACAGAATAAAATAAAATAAAACAAAGGACATAATTGAAAACCAAGCGCAAAACAGTGACGAGCTCTTTAGCCATCTGCCACAGGTACCTCACAAGCATTCAAAAACGGAACCACACTGAAAGGAACGGGAAAGCAGTGTACGGTACATTCCTGACAGCTCCGTCCTCCGGGCCCTGCGCCGCCACGATCCTTCCCCGGCCCGGCGCAGCGCGCGGCTGGGTCCCAACACCGGACTCAGCTCCGCTCCAACCCGAGAAGTACAGCTTGGGCAGCCGCTGAAAAGTCCTTTGAGGCCCTGGAGATCCGAGAAGTTAAACCCCGCTCCATACAGAGCCCGCGGTCCCCTTTAGGGTTTGAGGGCCCGTTCGCGCCCCCCAAACGAGTCAGCCTACACCTGACACTTCGGCTCCAGGAAAACGGTGGAACTTGAGCCGGGGGGAAGCCCAGCCCGGAAGCGCGAAGAGATTTCATCTAAGCCCCACCCAGACCCAGCACCACTCCGCGGCATAAGGAAGGGGAGGAGCCTACCCGGCGCTGCGTCAGCCGCCGAGGCCTGGAACCACCCTCAAGCCCTTTCTCAGTAGCCCACAGCCTCGCAGAAGGCACCGGTGGAGCGCGACATGTCAACTCAGCGCCAAGTGCCCGGATGCTCCCCGCCCCCCGGCCGCTCAGGGGCCCCGCCCCTGCGCCGCTCTGCGTGCCTACACTTCCGGAGACGCAGCGCGCTGACGTAAGAGCCGTGCCCTCTATATGAGGTTGGGGAGCGGCTGAGTCGGTCTTTTCCGCCCGCTCCCCCCTCCCCCCGCGCGCCGCTCCGGCTGCACCGCGCTCGCTCTGAGCTCCCGGCTCCTGCTAAGCTTGCGCGGCCGCTGTCTCCCTCAGCCACCACCATGATTATCTACCGGGACCTCATCAGCCACGATGAGATGTTCT